ATAGGATTAATAAAATAAATCAGCAAAAAAATCGTATTACAGATCTGCTTTGTCAAAATTTTGCATTAGCATTATTAGATATCGAGATAGATTAGAGCTTAAAAATACACAAAAGGTTTTACAAAATGCATAGGCATGGAATTTTGGTAAAAATGAATATAATTCTGATGAAAATTCTCTAGACTTGTATAATTCTAATAATATGGGTACAATAGCTAAATTAGCCAATGCTATAGACCGATCTCTAGATAATACAACAATATGTAGAACCATTTTAACAAATCAAATTAAAAGATCAACAAGAGCAATTCGGCATAAATATACTAATCTGCAACAAGATCTGGTGAACGAATAATGGAATCGTGATATATACAGGCAGGAGTGAGACCAGAGATTGCTTGAACTTTATTAGTTATGAACTAATGCTCAGAATCAAGTAAACAGAATGATAAATAATATATCAATAAAGCAAACCTATATCAGTACATTACTATATGAAAATTTTGCTTTCTAGTTATTGTATCAGCGAAATGCCTATCACCTACAATGATGCAGAGCTGATAAAGCTTTGCTAGAATATAATCGAGATAGGTTATATGAACGATATGAGAAGTGAAAAAATAAGACTCATGCAGAGCACCAAAATATTTTAATTTTAAATCAACAAATTTTTGTACTACAGAATAATCCACCTAATATACAATGAATAGGAATGGCAAGAATACTGCAACCATTTTTTGACTGGGATGAAGATATATCAGATTTCCTTGCAAAACTTAGATTATACTTGCAAAACCAAAGAGTAAATCCAGCAGATAATGCAGGAGGTCCACCAACAGGAAGAGAAGTAGCTATAGGATATTTAAGAGGATGTATGAAAGGAGAGCTTTAGAATAGTTTGATGAAGAGATTACTACAAAACAGAATTAAGAATTAGCAAACTTACTTGAAAATACAGGGCAGGCCAACTTAGTAGCTGTAAATAGAAGAACAGCAGTTCAAATAGGAAATCAAGCATTGAATAAGGCATTTGGCCAACCTGGTAATGCAATAGTCCTTAGGATGAAGATTGGTGCATAACAGGTGGTCATCCTACTAACATTGCTGTTAATGTACCAAATGCTAATAATGATACTACAGTAGTTGTAGCTGGCATTCATTTTGGTTAAGCCATATGGTGGCTAAAAATATATTTTCCTACAGTAGAAGAGAAGCTTCAGGATTTGCAATATGGAACAATTAGAAAAGGAAATATGACTATAGATGAATTATATAAAAAATTGTTATGAATAGGTAGATGAGCTAACTATAGACCCGAAGAATTATGTAATAAGTTCTTAGATGCCCTTCCTATTCTATAACTTGAAAAAGCTAAGAATATTAGTAAACATTTGCCATTAAATAAATTAGCTAAAAAGCTTTATAAGATAGAATTATGACGAATTGCTAGACATAAAAGAGATAGAATACCTGATCCACTAGTATCTCAACAAGCATCTCGAGAAATATATGAACCCTTACCCATTTCAGCTTCTTAACAGCAAGGAATTTCTTTAAAAGATATGCAAAAAGCAATCCAAAACACACTGGCATAAGAAAAAACTGAATACTAGTCTTTATTAGAAAAGCAAAAAGTTGATTTCTAATTACAAATGGCCCAGCAAGCAGTTGCTCAAAAAGCACAAGCACCAGCTTTACAAATTGTTGAACCAGTTAGACAGCCAAGAGGTTCACCATCTTCATTACAAACAAAAAAAGGTATAGAAAATTATAACTTAACACAATATTTACATAATTTAGATATATTTAGTACAGAAGATTTTGACAGAAATTTTTCTATAAAGCCTTTTCAAAAACCTTATCCAGGACAATTATATTCATCAATCAAAATGCTAGAATAGATAGAATAGAATCGAAAGTAGATGAAATCAGTCAAATGACATCTCAATTTGGGAAGATGATGCTTGAAAATCAATCCAAAAAACCTGTAACTAAATCAAATTTAATATATCGATACTTTTCTTTTTTAATACTCTTCTAATTCCAATATGCATCTCCTGATTTGAATGATAATGAGGATGAAGAAGGTGGATATAATGAGGAAGAGAATAGATGGCATGCTCCATCTCAGTCAGAAAAAAAAACAGGCACCAGTAAATGAAAAAATGCTTTCAGAACTTAGTCAGCTCGAAACATATAATGAACTATTACCAAAGCTTTCACTGGCAATGTGTAAAATGTGTTAGTCTCATATAGTATAGGAAAAAGAATCAAAATCAGATGAATGGTTTTTGTTATTGCAATACTTGCATTGTAATATAAATAATTTATTGATCACTAATTCCTTTTTATATAGTGCAAGTGAATTCGAGGGAGTAAATAATGCAACAATTAACGTCCTGAAGTAGAAAGCTAATAAGCCTTCTGACTTTGCTATAAAAGGTAATTCCAAACATATATCTGAATCATTAGGATGGTATACAGATGTGCCAATTAGTGTAAAGGACAAAGATGATAAGATTGTTATGTCTACTGGAAATTTTGCTCATATTAATAATAGTAAACTCAAACCAATGTTATGTTTAGATATGATATAGATTCGAAAAGTTCAAGGTATCTTGATCCAAATAAAAATCAATTTTGAATGAAGTTACATAGAAAGACTTATACTATCCCAACTTTTAGCAAGGCCCTGATAGCTAAGGATTTATCAAAAGAAAAGCAGATTCTAGAGAGTTCACATGATTCAATCCAAGTATCTACTGATTTTTTCAGCCTGACTAGTGAGAATGATTTAAAAAAAAATGCGAAGAGCTTAAAAGTGACTCATAAAAACTGAAGAGTAGCTTGATATGGCTCTAAATGCAGATAAGGTTCTTGCAGAAAGATGTTCTCAACTTACTGAGACAAAGATGGAAGAATAGGAGCTAATTTTTCAGTATCTTTCATTAATTTTTCAAGATCAGCCTTTCTCTTAGATGTATTGTCTATGGAAGAGACACTTTTTTTTATTGCACATGAGGAAGTAGAACTTTGAATCTTTGATTGTCCCATCTCTGCTGATTTATCTGGTAAAACTTCAAAGTGGTTTATATTAGTCGAGAGCCTAGCTTTATATCTATTTATATTAGATGAATTATTGCTAAAGCCTGGTATTTCATGGCTAGATATATTATTTATTTTATATGATTGAGGTATAGGTTAATCCCAAGTGACCCTATTATCTTCTTCTCCTCTCCAGATTTGATAAATCCATTTTGACAATGTTTTATATTATCTAATAATTCCTTTAAAATTTTGTATCTTGGCTTTATATTATGACATTGCATAATATATGAATAATCTTCAGCTGAAAACAAAGGTGCATCAGATTTTATATGTACTTTAACTATACTAATAAGTGTAATTACTTTGTTTTTTATCTAATAAAATATATCGAAAAAATAAAAATTATAAAATATA